CCCCCCCCCCCGGGCCAGCTAGCCAGCTAGCTACAGCTAGCTAGCCGGTTAGCTAGCTAGCTAGCTAACCAGCTGGCTAGCTAGCTACAGCTAGCTAGCCAGCTGGATAGCTAGCTAGCTAGCTAGCTAACTAGCTGGCTAGCTAGATGGGGTCAGCTAACGTTATAGCCAGCCAGTTAGCTAAAGACAGGTGGCTAGCTAGCTAGCTAGCTAGACAGACAAGTAAAGCTAGCTAGCTGGCCAGCTAGCTAGCCAGATAGCTAGCCAGCCAGAGCCAGCTAGCTGGGGTATGGGTGAGGTGTTTCTTTTAAAAGATTCGGGGCCCCCTCTGCTGCTGCCCCCAGGGGCCCCTGGGGCCCCCAATATGGACTGGGGGCCCCCACAGCCCCAGGGGGCCCCAAAATCCCGGGGGTCCCCGGGGGCCCCAAGAACCCAGGGGCCCCCCAAAACCCAGGGACCCCAGGGGCCCCGGGGGCCCCCAAGGACCCAGGGGCCCCGGGGGCCCCCATGGGCACGGGGGTCCCGGGGGCCCCCAAGGGTACGGGGGCCCCAGGGGCCCCAGGCGCCCCCAAGACCCCAGGGGGCCCCAAGACCCCAGGGGCCCCGGGGGCCTTGGAGGCCCCTTGGGCAGCTGGGGCTTTAAGGGCCCCTGAGGCCTCGGGGGGCCCCCAGGGGCTCGCCGACATAGCCGCAGGGGGGGGCCCCCAAGGGGTACTTGGGGACCCCGGGGGCCCCTGGGGGGCCCCCTGAAGGGCCCCCTGGGGGGACCCTTGAGAGACTCCGTGGGGGGCCCCCTGTGTAGGGGGTGGGGGCCCTTTAGGAGGAGTCACAGCCGGTAGGGACTGCGGGGCAGGCATTCCTGCTGCTGCTGCTGCTGCTGCAGCAAACTCCGCCTCCTGAGGAGTCTGGTAAAAAGTCTGTTGCTGCAGCGCAGTCGAGGCATTTGTCCCTGCTGCTGCCCGTGGTGCTGCTGCTGCAGTTGGTGCTGCTGCTGCAGTTGGTGCTGCTGCTGCAGTTGGTGCTTCTGGTGCAGTTGGAGTTGCTGCTGCAGTTGGTGCTGCTGCTGCAGTTGGTGCTGCTGCTGCAGTTGGTGCTGCTGCTGCAGTTGGTACTGCTGCTGCTGGTGCTGCTGCTGCAGCGGGTGCAGCTGCTACAGCAGGTGTAGCCGCTGCAGCGGGCGTAGCTGCTGCAGTTACTGCTGCTGCTGTTGCTGCGATGTCTGCAGCAGCAGCAGCAGCAGACGTGTCCTGCGAGAAACGCACCCGCGGCTTTGGCGGCGCCTGAGGCGCTGAGCTGCTGCTGCTGCTGCTGCTGCTGCTGCGCTTGGGTGAAGCAGCAGCAACAGACGTCTCTGGCGCTGTCTTCACAGTAATGTCCGTCTGCGGGCTGTCGGTGATGCTGCTGCTGCTGCCACTGTGGGGCGGCGACTCGCCTGCTGCTGCTGCTGCTGCTGCTGCGCGCATTTGCGCGTGCAGCAACTGCTGCTGCTGCCGCGCTGCAGCAAGCACGCCCTTGCTTGCTGCTGCTGCTGCTGCAGGGCCTCCTCCCGCCATTGACTGCCAGCCGGGGGAGCCCGAAGTGCGCTCTGCACGAAAACCCTAAACCCTAAACCCTAAACCCTAAACCCTAGACCCTAAACCTACAGCCTGAAGGCCCCAGGCCAGAAAGCAGAACCATAAACCCTAGATGAAGTACACGAGCTGCGGGGCTGCCGGGAAGCGACAGGGAGGGTTTGCAGCGCGTCCTAGGGTTTAGGGTTTAGGGTTTAGGGTTTACCGAGGAAGGCCTTGGCGTCTCTGAGGGTCACTGTACATACACCCCAGCGCCTGCCAATTACAGCCAAAAGTCGGCCCAGCTGCTCCACGTAGGCCTCAGCCATTTCTGCCACGGCCTGCGCCAAACCCTAAACCCTAAACCCTAAACCCTAAACCCTAGGCCCTAAACCCTAAACCCTGGCCCTAGGCAATGAACCCTTGGGAGCCCTTTGAGTCGCTATTTGTTTGGGCGCAAGGGGAGGAGGGGCTCGAGACAAAGAACGGCCAAACTAGTTAACTAGGGTCTAGGGTTTAGGGTTTAGGGTTTAGGGTTTGAGGTTTAGAGCTTACCTCCAGACACTCGGGGGTTGCAGAGGCGTTAGGGTGTAGGCGCTTCAGCAGCCGCTCAACTGTCTCCGGTGTGACAACGGAGATCTTTGCTGCTGCTGCTGCTGGTGCTGCTGCTGTTGCTGCTGCTGCTGCTGCTGCTGTTGCTGCTGCTGCAGATGCTGCTGCAGGCGCGGTGCCTCCTGCTGCTGTTGCGTCTGCTGCAGGAACACCCGCAAACATCTCTCCTGTTAGGGGAGGCGCAACATCTGCTGCTGCAGGTGCTGCTGCTGCTGCTGCAGCTGCAGCAGCAGCAGCAGCAGCAGGGGCTACCTCACTCATATCACGGAGGCAAGCAGCTGGAATAAGGAAGGCCGCCCGCTGCTGCTGCTGCAGCTTCAACGCATTAGCTGTTGCTGCGGCGACACTCACAGCAGCAGCAGCAGCAGCAGCAGGACTCAAGGCAGCAGTGACTACTGCTGCAGCTGCTGCAGCTGCTGCTGCTGCCGCTACAAGGCCCCAGGCTAAGGCCTGAGCCGACAAGATAGTCTACTGCTCCATAAGGTAGCT